CAGGCAGAGCGGGGTGCTGAGGAGCAGCCTCAGCCACTCCTGGTCACCCGCGCGAAGCCCCGGCGCACCCTGCCCGCGGCCCCGCGGCGCCTTGGCTCCGGCCCGCCCTGCTAGGTCGCCTGGTGGCTCCCATGGCCGCGGCCCGGGAGGGGGCGCCCTGGACCATCCCGCGCCGTCCCCGCCCCGGAGCGTCCGGGTTACACGGCGCGGGGATGCGCTACGGGCGACACTCGTACGATCCCCACGCGCCGCCGGGGCTCCCGCACGTGCCTGGCAAAGGGGACCCACAGCGCGCCAGCCGCAGAGGGCGCGGGGGGACGCGGAGCAGCAGTCCGGCCCCGAGGCCGAGGGGGAGAGGGCAGCGCGGGCGGGGGGAGGCGGTGAGTCCCCGGCACGGAGGCGGCGGCGGGTGCCAGAGCCCGGCGGTGGGGGCCGCGCACGAGACTCTGGAGCACGCGAAAGGGTTAGATCCGCAAAGCCAGACAACGTTTCCAGAAAGTTTTCGACGACAGGGGGAGAGGAGGGACAGGGCCCTGAGCCTGACCCGCAGGAGCCGCTCTCTCCACCTGACCCCAGACTCCTACCCGCTCCGGAGAGCGCCACGCTCTCCCCTCGGGCGCCCCAGCCCCCCGCCCTTCTCCCACGCCTCCTCTTCTTCCTCTGCCTCGAGCCGTTGTCAGCCGGTCCCGCCTGGCGACTCCACAGGTCTCCGGCCTCTGATCGGCCTGGGACGCCTAGGTGCACTCGTCTGGGGTGGCCGCGCGGTCTCCTCACAGCCCCCCTTCCCCACACCTCGTGGCTCCTTTCATCTTTCCAGAACCTTCCGCATTCGGGCTGGCCCTCTGCTTTGGGGACACTGCCCGGCCGGGGGTAGGTCTCCACGGAGGAAGGGAGAGGCCAGGGAGGGGCGGGGCCCTGAGATCCCAGTCCTGACCCTCGTCCGACCCGCACCCCCTTGAAGAACCACCTTAGGGGCCCGGAACCCCGGGGCCGAGCAGACCACTAACGACCAGCGGATCTGACGTGGAGAGCGAGGTGTGCCCTCCCTGTCGCTGCGGGGAAACCGAAGCCTTGACCGGAGGTCTCAGTCGGGCAAAGACCCCGCCCAGCGCCGGGAGCCCAAAGACACACGCTGGGGCCGAGGGGGCCTGGCTGGCCGATGCCTCTTGGGGTGGGGTGGGGCGGGTCCAGTCTTCTCCTAGGCGGCACCCCTCCAGGGACCCCCCCCCCCCCCGCCCTTGGCTACCGCCCCGGGCCGCACGTGCCTTCTGAGCGGGGCGCGCGCGGTTGGGGTCTCAGCCAGAGAGGTCCCTGGCGCTGCCCGTCGGGCTTTGGGTTTCCGCCGATCTTGGGCGCCGGGCTTCCTGATACGCAGACAAGGCCCCGCATTAGCCGGTCAGCCTCACCTTCCCCCATGCGGCGTAGGTGAGAGTCGTTTCCACTGCTCCACACGCATGGCATGGCCCCCAGGCGGGCGCAGGCGTCTCGCCCCCGCATCTAGTGCGGGCAGCAAAGCCCAGAACGGCTGCTCCAGCCCTCCAGCAGCCGTGCAGGAGGGCCCAGTGCTCCCACGCCCCGAGAACTTGGCATTACTTAACTCTCCAGCTGTGCCTCTTCGTGGCTCTATTTCATTTCCCCGATGACCGAGGACTTGAACCCCTTTTCTTTGAGAACCCTGCCCCCCCCCAAAGCCCCCCACACCTCTTGGCTAGGCTGTGGGCTTTTGCAGGAAGGGCTAAAACGAAGTGATGTCCAGTACCTGGGGATTTTCCCCAGGGGGTGGTCAGGGAAGGCCCCCACTGAGGAGGTGCCATTTAGCGTGGGAGGTTGCCTCTCTAGACAGCAGGGAAAGGGTTTCAGGCCGGGGGAGGAGCCAGGAGAAAATCACCAGGTGGAATGAGTGGGCCTGGTTAGGACCAAGTATGGGCTGTGTCCCTCCGGAGTGAGAGAGGGGAATGAAGTGGCAGATGGGTCCTAGGGCAGTGTGGCCTGGAGGCCACCCCATCCACGACCCTGTTCCCCACGGAGAGACAAACGCATCCCTTGAGCCTAGTGCTGAGGTCAGGAGGGGCTTGATCCCTTGTGATCCTCAATCTTAACGGTGGCCAGGGGCAGCTCAGCCTGAGTCCTGCAGTGGCCTTGTCTCTGGCTGCCCCCAACACCCACCTCTAGGCTTGGCTCCACACGGCAAAGAAAATAAAGGGAACTTCAGAAAACTTTTGTCAAAGGATGGGATTATTTTTGGAAGGGAGGAGGGGGGAACTGAGGAGGTAGTTACAACACACCAGACCAAATCAGATGATCTCTTGGCCCCCCTGCTCCCAGAGTCTCCCAGAAACTCGACTCAGGTCTTGTCTCTGCTCCCCACTCTTTCACCTCCACTGTAGGCTGTAGCCTCTTTCCTTCCTGACAGCACCCCTGAAGCTGACACCCCCAAAGGCAGACAAACAACAACTAGCACACCTAGGGGCATCACTTGGGAGAGGCGACTCAAGTCATCCCACTCCAGCCCCATTTCAAAGATGAAGCAACTGAAACTGGTCATTTGCCCAAAGATGGCAGGGCTGGTTGGATAGTCGGTCTTTTTATTCAGGTGCCAAGCTTTCCCCAGCTGCAGAGTGTTCGTGCCATGTTCTGGAGGGTGGGGAGGGGGCGAGAAGGCACAGGAAGGGTTGGGGGAGCTCCCTGCAGCCCAGGGAGTGGAAGGACAGCAGATGTCAGAAGCAGGCCCGGGTTCATGGGGATAGGGTCTGATTGGCTCTGGCCTCCCCGCTGCCACCTCCCTGCCATCCTAGCCTCTGCGGGCTCTTTTGGCTCCGGGGGTCCCACAGAGGCCCATGCAGCCACTCCCCACCCCTGTGCTTGGCTGGCTGGTAAGATGTCATTGAGATTGGTGGCATCGGGCCGGGGAATCCCCCCTGTAATGAGGCGGTCATGAGACGCTGACTCACTGCCGGCCAGACCACCTGACTACGCAGCGGCAGGCGGAAGGGGCCCTGCCAGGGGGTTCCCCGGCCCGGCCTTGTTTACCTCTCACCCGCCGTGGGGGAGGGCAGGGACAGGGCAGGGCAGGGCGAGGGCCTGCTCAGCCGCGGGGCATGCTGGGAAGGCCGGAGCTGGGCCTCCCCAGGGGCGGAGGTCTCTCGGCTGCTTGCCAGGGCTCTATTTCCTGCCACCCCCTTTCTTCCTGAGCTCTCCATCTTTCCCCGAAAACCCACCACGGCCCCAGATGGGGCCAAATGGCGAAGGGCAAGGCGTTCCTGCCGGCGGCCTCCATCTCCGCTGCTTGTTAGGACGGGGCCTGCGACTTGGGCCCTTCCTGAAACCCGCCGCTCCTCAGAGCCACAGGGCTTGCCTTGGGCACCCCACCCCCTCACACCCGGATGCTGAAGCTCTGGGGGGCGGGAAGCCTGGCCCTAGGCCCATCCCGCTGGGGGCTGCGAGGCTCCCAGGCTGCTGAGTCACGGGCGTGGGTGCCTGTGGGCTGCTGCACCCGCTGCCCAGCACTGCCCCCTCTGTGGCTTTTGACCCTGTCTGCAGGGCAGTGGGCAGAGGGTCACTTTCCCAGGCTCACAGTGGGGGTGCAGGGAGGGGCCTGAGACGGGACCATCCTCTCTACAGGGCAGTTTGGGCAGGGGTGCCAAGGCCGGCTCTGGAGCCCTCTGGGAAGGACCAGCCACACCTATGGACAAGTCCCTGCTGTGCTCCCATGGGCGTGTCACCCTTGTACCTGACTAGCTAAATCCACTCAACTTTCTGTGGTCTTTGGGTTTCCCATCCCTTGAGGTTTTACCTGCTCTCACAAACCCCACCATGATGGAAAGGACATGACTTTGACTCAGCAGGTCTGAACTTCTACTCACAGGACCCCACCTGGGAGACCTCATAGGGTGACATACCCTTCCCACTCACCTCCTTCCCAGACCATCCCCCCCAACGACCCCCTTTCCCCAAGCCTTGCGAACAGGTCACTTTCATCACATAAAGCGGTGTTTCCTGGTTCCTAACTGGGGAGCTGTTGGTTTGCCCCCTGGGCTGCCTGTGAGTCCAGTAGGCCTGAGACTCCACAGGTCCTTGGACATCGCCTGCTGAACTGAACCCAGGCGCCCAAAGGGAGTCTCTCCGGCTGCAGTGAACACTCTGACGACTGAGGCTCCGGGAAGCCTTAGCTGGTCGTCCAGCCCGGGTGGGGTGGGGGCACTCTGAGCTCTTCCAGCACCTCTCAACAGTGTGCTCTATTCAACTGGGAGCTCCTCTGGTGCTCACGCCTGAATTGGGGGGTATGTCCCTCCACCAGTAAGGGGCTGTGGCCAGGTAACCAGGCTAGGCCATCATGGAGGATGCTAGGGGTGGTGGAGTGGGCTGCCACCTGGGAAGCTGGTTGCTTTGAATGGATGGGGGCGGGGTTCTCAAGAGTTGCGGTCGGGACAGAACCTCGGGAGCCAGTTTATTCCGGCCGGCCCTGCCTGATGAGCACCTAGGAACCTTCTGGCTTCCGGCCTCTGTCGCCCCCCTCCCTCCTGCGCTGGGTATCCCCAGGCGGCCAGCGTTCTGCTCTGCTGAGTCATGGTCAGATCCAAGCCTGGGAGGGGTCTGGGGCGGGGACCCCAGCGGGTCCCTTGCCCCAGGTGCAGAGACCAGAGTCCAGACATCTGTCGGAGTCCTTGGGCCGGCCTTTCGGGGTCCCTGGTGTACTAGGGACTGTGACGACAGTGGTCACCAATGAGGCGGCGGGGACGGAGGGGGCGGCAGGCGCGGGGCCCCAGCAGGGCGGCTCGCGCGCGGC